ACCCTACCCGCTGTGTGTAATTCTGGTCAAATTGTATGAAAGGGATTGAGAAGATAGTACAAATGTAGCTAAATAAAGAAGAACCCTGTTGAACACTGAATAGCACACTCTTGAGTGATACCCCCAGATTTAGCATCAGCAGAAGCTTAAATTAAAAAAAAAAGTAACAACAAAAAATCAGTGCTTTCCCCTTCTTGATAATCATTCCGGACTTAAATCTTATTAATTGGTGAAAAGAGATATCAGGAAAAGAAATAAAGGATACTCCGAAGATTAAAATAAATACATGAGAACAATAAGAAAGACTCAGAAATCCAGCATTCTGATCTCAATTCAGTCCCCCAGAATCACATGCTTGCAAAAGTCAGTCTAGTCATCTTAGTTCCCTAATCTGTTTAATAAGATTAAGCAAGAATAAGTACGTGTGTTAATATGCCTGATCAGGAATATGGACTGGGCAGTACATTCAGTTTTATTGTCCTGATTGACTTCATTCTACACCATGAATGAAATTCTGATCTAACAAGTCTTGCATGAAATTCTATAATTGTTATTTTTCAACAGTTTTCCTGGCAATTGTAATTATTATACTTGGGAACCACTAGAGTAGATGAGATTTAAAACACCCCCCCAGTATTTAAGGTATTTATTTATAAAGCTTTTATCCAGAAAACACTACATTGTGATTCAGTTGATTTCTTATTATGCACCTGTGTCTTTTTCAGAAATTTTGTTATTTTTTCACAAAGAGTGAAAATTAGGAAGAGTAAATTGCATATAATTGATTCTTAGGGTATATGAATGAATAGTATGTTTTGTTTTGTTTTTCAAATTGCATTCCTGTGATCATTTTCACTTACGTATTCCTCACATATGCAGCAATTTTTAAGAGTTTCTGTGGTTTGTTAAAATAATAAAAATACTGCCAGACAGATAGTATAGCATAAAAGGATCTTGCCTTGCACGTGCCCAGCCCGGCACCACATATGGACCCTATGACCCCTGTGCCTCACCAGGAGTGATCCCTGAGCACAGAGCCAGGAGTGAGTTCTGATTACAGCTGGAGAACAACAAAAATAATCAATAACTATAAAAATAAGTACTACTGGGAGGGGCTGGAGCAATAGCACAGCGGGTAGGGTGTTTGCCTTACACGCGGCAGACCCAGGTTCGATTCCCAGCATCCCATATGGTCCCCCGAGCACTGCCAGGAGAGATTTCTGAGTGCGTAAACCAGGAGTAACTACTGTGCATCACTGGGTGTGACCCAAAAAAGCAAAAAAAAAAAATAGTAATAAAAATAAAAATAAGTACTACTGGGAGAGGAAGGGCTAGAGCTCAGAATGATAGAGGATCTATGTGACGTGTATTTGGTCTGAATTCAATTTGTGTCAACATATTATTACACAGTACTACTTAGCACTGGTAGTCACCAAGCACTGCACACAGAGCCAAACACTGTACCATATACCCATATCCCCAGGTTGAGCATCAGCAAAAGTAACTGCTGATTATTGCCCCTATACCTTTAAAAACAAAGATTCCATGGGGCAAACATGTGTAAACCAGGCATCTTTCATAATTATATCTGAGGAGTCTAAAAATGAAATATTATTTTTATCTTTTTGCATAATGGATAAATGAAATATATGAGAAAATACAATATTTCCAACATGCACTAATGCAATGAAATACCTGAGTTACATAGTTACTGGCAATTTCAGCAGTATTCCCATGAACACATAGATCTTGACGCATGGGTCCTCACATCTAACCTGTTTTTCAGCCCTGAAATCATCTTCAAACAAATTCTTCAGAGAATGGTACCCATCCTTAATGTTTGTGTATTCAATAAATAAATGAAGTGCAGCGCTCTCTCTTTTCACATGCATTTGGTGACCATGAACCACTTCCCATTCGAGCCTGCCACAGCCACCAACAGATGAATGAAGGAGGGGACAGGGCTACCAGGCTGGCTGGTTATCAGTGGCAGTTTGTTCCAATCTTGTCTCCCTCTGCCTCTTTCCAACCTCCACCCATTCCCCATATTCCTCCTGTCCCCCATGCTAGTCTCTCCGTGCCCCATCTCACAGGCCCACTCTAGACCCAACCTCCAAATGTTGGGGTAGCAACTGCACATAAGTCAGACAGCACAGTCAACATATGAAAGTCCTTCCTTGGTGCTGGGGGCGGGGGCGGGGGGATAGGGGGAGCTATTCTAAAATATGATAAAGATCTCCTCTTACTAGGAGAATTGCACACGGTTAAATTTTATCTAAGGACATATTTCTCCTTTCCTTAGTTCATAACCATTTACATAACCATTTAAACAGTCACTAAAGTTTACGTCTTAAAATCTTTCTAGCCATTTTGTATTGACACAGTTAAAGAAACATTAAGCTTATAGCATTAACTATCTTCCAGTGTCTATACAAAAAGGACATTGCTCTAAAGTAAACGATGGAAAGGACATAAGGGAAAGAAAAAAACATTATTTTACTTACAAATACAAAATCCAAGAGTCCTTAGAAGGATCTGACCTTACAAGTCACAAAGTCTGATTTGGGGGTATGTGTGATTAACCGATAGGGGAGCAAAACATAGAGAAGAGGTTAAAGATAAACACAGAGGATTGGGAGTGTCTTGGAGCACTGTGAATGGTGTAACCCAATAAACCCAAGCTTCCTGCAGCAAGGGAGAAAGGACAAACCAATGCTATCCTACAATTGTTATGAACATTCAGTGATTCTTCTTTTTTTTTTTCACTTTATTGGAGCACTGTGGTTTACAGAGTTGTCCATATTTGAGTTTAAGACATACAGTATTTCAGCACCAATCATACCACCAGTGTCAACTTCCCTCTACCAGTGTCCCAGGTTCCCTCCCCTACATACCTGTTGTTCCCCAGCCTGCCACCTTTACAGGCACCTTTTTAAATTCAGTTGTTAAAGTTTGGATCTCCAATTTCAGTGTTGTTGACTGTGGTTTGGATACTTATCTCTATCATTCCTTAACACCACTGATGTTTCCCTTCATCTCTGCTACCTATTTCTTCATCTGTCTCTAATCTGACTTCCCTTCGCTCTATTTCTTTTTTTTCTTTATTTTTTATTGAGTCACCATGAGATACACAGCTACAAAGGTATTCATGATCAGTTTTCATTCATACAATGTTCCAACACCCATCCTCCATTTTCCACCACCAATGACCCCAGTTTCCCTTTGTCAACCCCCCACTTCCAGCCTGCCTTTATGACAGGCACTCTCTCTCTCTCTCTCTCTCTCTCTCTCTCTCTCTCTCTCTCTCTCTCACACACACACACACACACATTTCTCTCTCACTTCTCTCTTCATATCTCTCCGCCCCCTCTCATACACACACACACACACACACACACACACACACACACACACACACTTCTCTCTCACTTCTCTCTTACCTTTTCATATCTCTCCTTCCTCTCTCTCTTCCTCCCCCTTCCCTTTCTACCTCCCTCTTTCTCTCCTTTTGGGCATTATGCAATATAGATACTGAGGTTATCATGTTTGTTCCTTTACCTACTTTTAGCACAAAGTTCTTATCCAGAGTGATCATTTCCAACTATCTTTGTTATAGTGACCCCTTCTCTATCCCAACTGCCTCCCCCCACCCACCCACCCACCCACTGCCCAGCACTTAGAGCAGGCTTCCAACCATAGACCAATCTTCCTGGCCTTTGTTTCTACTGTCCTTGGATATTTGTCTCATATTATGTTTTTTATAACCACCAATGATTGTAGTCATTCTATGTCTATCCCTCTCCTTCTGACACATTTCACTCAGCATGACACTTTCCATTTCCATTCATGTATAAGTGAATTTCATAGCTTCATGTTTTTCTAACAACTTCATAATATCCCATTGTATAGATATACTGTAATTTCTTCTCCTCCCTGCATTCTGGGGCCAAGGGTGTCTTTTTAGAACAAAGCCAACGTTGTAACTTTATAATTAGGATAGAATTTTGCATGGAAATCCTGTCACTTTGTCTTGCTTTAGTGTCTATTAGCTAAATAAATAAACAAGCCATATCACCAGATGTATATGCTTTCTCTTCTGTAAAGTGATTTCTACATGCAGACACTACAATTCTTAATATATTAGGAAATTCCAAAATATTTTCATACCAGTATTCTCAATATCATGTGGTCTCTTAATATTTAAACTTAATATTTTTTCATCCTTTTCTAATATCCTTAAAATACTATCAAGGGTCATAAAAGTATGCTTAAAAGGATATGGAAACAGATGACATGTACATGTACACTTTTTACACTAGATGCTTCTTATGACACAAGTCCTTTTTTTCTACATGACCTTACAGCAAGAAAAATTCCCCTGCAGCAAAAAAAATCTGAGTTCAGCATAAAGCATGTAATGCCCTCCCGGATTCAGAGTCCTGTTAGAAGTTTCATTTTATCACTTTCTTGGGAAGCCATTATAATTCAGGATAATGGTTTGTTTTGAGCATCATCAAGTCCCTAGAAGGGGGCCTCTCAAGACTGATGGGTTGCTATGATGTCATATGAGGTATTTTATAAACAATTGTATTTGTTAGATACTTCTAACACAGAACTGATTAGTTGCAGTGTTGATGAAACAAAAAATGCACAAAATGTGAGTGTGATCTTGTGTGTGTAATAAATATACTTTACTCAATGATTGTACTGCTTTTTAAAGAGAATACAAAGATTAGGAGCAGAAAATTAGATTGTAGAATATCAAACTTTTTTTTCTGTACCATTATTCTTCATTTTTATGGTTGACGATTTTCTGAGAAGTATAAAATTAGAAAGTACAACATCATTCAAGAACACTATCATGTAAATTTTCTGTGAAATCTCTTCTTACATCATTTAATTTAATGGCTTTCAGAAGAGGTTCTTATGAGATCTTTTAAAGTATCTTTTTTATTTCAAATTAGTTTATGCTTCCTAAGTATTGCATTTTGTTGTTTCAGAACAAGTGAACATCACACACCAAGATTTCAGGTTACTAAAAACTGCAAAATCTGGATCTTTTCCTACTTAGAAGCAAGGAAAAAGGAAAATTGATAATCCGAGGTAAAGCTGTTTTCTTTCCCTTATAATTCAAGATATGTTAATAGACTGTTAATCTTGGAGTCTGTGTGTTTTTTAGTTTACCAGTTGCTGGTTCAGAATGTGGATGAGATGTGTTTATATGTTTAATCTTTGTTTCTACAGTTGTTAATCTATCATGATAGATTAGTCAAATATCTTTGTATTGAAATTATGGACTAAAATCTTGTTATTTGGGTTTGGCATGAAATATGAGAGTAGTGGCATGGTATCAACTTTCTTTTTCTCTTGGAATGTTGTCCAAATAAGAATTTCATAGTCAGACATTTTAGCCTGATCTCTACATGTGAAGAGCAGTTATGTGATGCTTTGAGGCAACTCTATATCCATTCCTTGACAAATTGTAGAAGAAAAATAAGGATTATAATGGCAAATCAATCAGAAACAATTTGCCCAAAATATTGATGAATACATTAAGAACTTCTCATATTTGTTTGGATTGCTCACCTCTTGACCTGGTAATTGGTGAGGAAATTGTGAATTGATCTCAATGATTATAGAATAGGAACAGTGAATCTGCAGATGCTAAAGTCAAAATGTGTAAAGGAGTCCCGTACTATGAGAATGCACAGATTTCCCCTGGCCTTTTAGATGGAATAGAGACCTCACAATATAGTATTGTATAACATGTCAATCTCACAATAAAGTATTATATAATACTATACACTGTATATAAGATATTTGGTTGGCTAAAATAACTGCTTAATAATCCTGAGTGGATATTGGTTGTATAATGCTCTTTAATAAGAAGTGTCATTCACAAAAAGACTTATTGCTCTCTGATTGTGTACAACTAGGGGAAATGGCATTTATAGCAAGAAGGATTGTACATTTTACTTTATAAAAGAACTAATGGGTATGTGAATGCAGAAAATCATATCTATCTAATAAATTCTTTTGCAAATGTATTTCTCTGAGTTTAAATTTTGTAGCTGCTGTATAACTTGAATGTTTATTCACATTCAGGACAACTGTGCTTTCTGTTTTTTTGTTGGGTTTTTTGAGTTTTGGGTTTTGTGGTTTCTTTTTTTTTCCTCACTTGCATTTGAATGTGCTCCTATATCAGTGTTGCACATTTTCTCTACATCGTTTATCTGCACATCATCCAATGATTAGCTTAGTAAATATATCCCATTTTTTTTTACTAAAATAACTGTTCCTGCTGCCTCTTTTCTGCCTACTCTTGATTTATTCCAGAAATTGGGCTCAATGCCTACTTTTAGAGCTCAGTGTGAAATTTATTCTTTATGTTTTTAAACCAAGTTCCCACATATTTTTTCTGTTTTGTTTCGTGCTGTAATCAGTTTCAAAATGCACCCTTAAAAAAGCTTATATATTTGCATAAATAATAAACAATTACATCCTGAATATTTACTTTTTAAATTCTATCTTGTTGAGACCCGAGAGAAAGCTCAATGGGCTGAGTGTATATTTGCATATGGTAAACTTTAGATTAACTTCACACCTCCAGTAGTAATCCCTAACCACTGCTGAATATGGCCCAACATACAAACATTCTTGTGCTATGACAATTTCTAATGTCAAACTTAAAAATCTACTTCAAAATTTTTTATGTATCTTCAGTAGATATATCTTAACCCCATCATATAGGGAAGGGCTTCTGAGGATCATTTAGTGTCTTATCTTGCTATTTTAGGATGTAGATTATATAAAATTTTACTTAAAATTAGACTTAAAAGCATAAGTCAATCAATCCACTAAAGTGACATATAGCTCATACAAAAAATACCTCAGAGTTTAAGACCTTTTTCTTCCACTTGTTAACAGTATGAGCTTAAAAATTTGCCTTAGTATCTTCATCTATAGAAATGAGTAAAATTTTGTCATTATTTCATTACAAAACTTGAGATAACCTAATAAAAATTTAGCACTTCTGTACATATGTACTGAATGTATGTGGCTCTAATTACCTATATAGATAAGCCTCTAAACAAATCAGATTATAAACCACAGTTTTTAAGACTAATGGAGATTACATTCATCTTCCTCAATATAATGCTGCATAATTAAGAGGTTTTTTCCTTTGACACCCTAAAAGTTTTTTCCTTTTGGGACCCTAAAGTTCAGAAATGTACCCTATAATTTAGTTATCTGAGATGGGCAAAACAAATGGAAATGCAACATATTCTACCATCTATACAGGATATGTTTCTATAATTTAGTATGATTATACAAAGCAAGCCAGCTCTTTTCATCAAGAGTGACTTCTAGTCGAAGCATATAGTGTGCATATTGCATTCTTCTGTCTTTTTATCTAGCCACTATTTGAAGAAAAATGAAGATTTTCTCAAGACAAAGAGTTGGACTGAATGTTTGTATGATTTTTGATTTTATATTTTGTTTTATTCATTCTAGTATTCTCAAAGGTGCTCCATTTTATTTTTTGTCATCCTAAAGTTACGTATTTAGCTAACCTTACAGCTTTATGTCCAGAGGCAAGAGAAGTCTAATTTTAGTCAACAAACGATTCATTTACTACAAAATTCATCCAAATATTGATCATTTTTCTGCTCTCTAAGTGTATTTTTGGGTTGAATGCACATTTTAATATTTATTAACACAAGTACTTTATCAATAGAAAATACAAATAGATCAATAAATTTTTGGTGAACACTTTTATCAATACTAGCAGAAGATTTAGGTCTATTTTTTTTGTTTTCAATTTGTTATAAATCCTATAAGTCAATAAATTTTGAGATATAGCTTACTATTATATTCCAAATTTTGACATCAAATAATTTAAGTATTAAGAGCTTTTTGCTGCAGTTTGAATACAATGGTTATTTCAGACATCTGTAAGATATCCAAAATATAATTTTGGACTGTTGTATTTCTAAATCATGTCTCAGAGATACGACACTATCAGAATGAAAATCATAATGATGAGCCTGTTTCAAACCTTAAGAGTTTTACACACACACACACACATACACACACACACACACTGTACATAGTGGTAGTTGTAGACAAGAGTGGTTCTTCACATCAATATAGTAGTTCTTTGGAAATCAATTAGCACTGAAATTTGCATTTTCAGTCACTAGATAGTTAGACAATCTAAAGAGAATTCCAAGTATCGAAATTGGCATTTTAAATGTAATACCTTGTGGAATATTCTCTGAAAGAAACACATTCTTTGTTATATGATAGACCTTTTTATAAAAGATTAAATGAAATTGTCATAACTATTTTTAAGTGTTGACATTTACTGGGTAGTTAAAACTGTTGTTGGTAAGGTGTTATCAACTCAGATAATCTTTATACAAAGTGGAATATTTTTCTTGGCACAGTTGACCTCCTGTAGCCCCAACATACTTGAGTTGTCTTAGTCCTTACTGTAGCATGAAATAATATTTTTCAGTTGCAGAGAGAGATTCACCCTCCTAGTGAGTTAAAGTGGGGTTTTTTGTTTTGTTCTTTTTTAAAAATTGGCAGATTTTTATTTATTTATTTATTTTTGCTTTTTTTTGTCACACTCAGTGATGCTCAGGGGTTACTCCTGGCTCTTCACTCAGGAATCGCCCCTGGCAGTGCTAGAGGACCGTATGGGATGATGGGAATCAAACCTGGGTAGTCCACGTGCAAACGCCCTACCCACTGTACTATCACTCCAGCCCCAGTGTTCTTCGTTTATATATATATATATATATATATATGTGTTTCTTAATATTAGAGGAAATTCATAGGAAATTCACTCAACATATGGATGATATGAACAACACATCAAAAAGCTTCATTCAGGTCATACATAGAGGTCAGTAGGTCATATGGGTCAATAGGTCAGACATAGACTTTGTTGAACAGTCATGGGACATCAATTATTTAAGTACATGTAAGATATTGAAAATTATACTTGATCACTTGATCACTTGACATCTGGTTAGTCATCGATTTTGCTGGAGTGGGCACCAGTAACGTCACCACTCATCCCTGTAGCATGCTAGTGTAGACAAATAGTGTCTGCTCATTCTAGGAACACAAAGAGCCTCAAACAGATCATTCAGGGTCTTAACGAAAAAGTCTGACCATCTCATACGTGGGCAGCCACGCGATCTTTTGACATCGCGTGGAATCCAGTAGGTAACGGTTCTAGTTCAGCAGTCATCTCCAAATCTCATTCTGTGTCCAGCCCATCTGATTTTCGGAGCCTTGGCAAATGAGACGGCATCCCTGATTCTTGACCATCAACAGAGGTCGGAACTCCGGATTCTTTCTCTCATTTGAGTGAAGCTTGATACTCCAAGAATAGCTCTTTCAATTCCTCTTTGGGAGACCCGAATAGCATTCTCATCCTGTTTTTGTAGGGCCCAAGTTTCTGAGGTGTATGCTAATGCAGGAAGAACAGTGGAATCGGAGAGATGTGCCCAGAGTTGGAGGTTCTTCATCCTTTTGGCTATTTCTTCGACACTCTTGAAAGGCATTCCAAGCCACTGTCTTCCTCCTACTCAGATGCCAGGTCATTTGTCATGTTGACTTCTCGACCTAGGTACACATAACTGTTGCATTTGGAGATGTTCGTTCTATTGAGAGTGAATAGAACATCAGGAAGACACTGTTTTTTGTAAACATTGTCTTTGTGAGATTCAGCTGTAATCTGACCTTTCCACACTCAGGGTTGAAGTTGGCCAGCATTTGTGCCACTTGGCTAATGTTTGGTGTTATGAGAACGATGTCCTCAGCAAAGTGGAGGTGGTGTAGCTGCTGACCATCTATCTTCACTCCCATTCTTCTCAGTTCAGCCATCACATGATGTTCTCAAGGGTGGCACAGAAGAGTTTTGGTGAAATGGTATCACCCTGCCAAACCCCTCTCTTGACATCGATGATCACTTCTTTGTAGAATGGTGAGATCCTGGTAGTGAATCCATAATACAGCTCACGAAGGATCCTGATGTATTGAGTTTGAATGCTCTGATTGGCTAGGGCTTGGATGACTGCTT